TCAGTTATTCTAAGTACTTTGTGTTCTTGAAAAGTTTGTTGCTGTCTACTGTCGTTACCGACACCCGAACCCCGGGATCTCTGCCACCCAACCTCTGCCGTTGGGTACCATCAGCAGACACAGGCTTCAATATGAAGGATGTTGCAAATGGCGTTTATTGCGCAGCTGCAATTGCTTATATAGCACAAGCCACACCCACAAGGCCCCTCGTGGGCAGTCTGAGCTTTCCGTTACATCGCCAGATCTTCCGCACGCCGATCCCTGCCTAGGGCGGGCTCTGCTCACCACAACAGTCTACCAAGACAGAATAACATTTATATTGGAATTCTCAGGAAAATAAGTAATTCTGAGATTTTAAGGTTTTATTCCACTTTATGGTGGAATAAAGCGATTTAAGGTCACTCAAGGAAACTTAGCTGTTAACGGTGACTGAGTTTCAGAGGGAGAAAGTTCACATTTATTTTTCTAATTGAAATCTTTTACATCATTTTAAAGACACGGGATTTCTCATACCAAAATTTAGCTACTTAAAATGTTAGTAAGGTATGCAGAAATTAAAAATCATCTACAAAGAAATCCGTCAGTATTTTTGCTTGGCCTTTTGATTCTGAAGGAAGTATCATGAAAATTATTTTTTTCTGATCTGATTAACACTTTGGGCTAGTGTTAAAGGAGAAAAAAAAAAAACAAACAAAAAAACAATTTGAAAGATTGAAAACAAAGTTTTGAAAACATTTCTAGTGTAAATGAGATTCAGAAGTACACAGACAGAAGAATCATTTTTCATATAGCACTTCATCCTATCCTCCCAGTGACTACCTTTTGGCTATTGCAGTAGTACTAAATGCACAAAGCTTTTAATTGTGACCATGTCACACTTGTTATGTAAATTTGCACTGCGGGGTATGCAAACAGTTAAAGAGGCCATATGAATTTCTGTGCTGGTTTTCACAAATTATGCTGAAGAGAGCTCTTTTTAGGTGATAACACTAGTTTACAATTCAAACTGTCTAGGTCTTAATATGAAAATGTCCTTGACCTCTGAATCATGCAAATCACAGAGATCAGTCACCAGCTCTCACATGGAAGAAGGTGCAATAGATCCAAGGAAATGTTCCATCAGGGATTTTTAGAGGCCAGCTTTAATCACACAATGGTAAAGAACATACAGCTCTTTGAGCAGCAGCTCACATGTGTATTCCTTAGGCATGAGTTTCATGCATTACGTGCAACACAAGTAGCAGCTGAACACATGAGGAAATCTTACATGGTCAAAATATGCAGTGTACAAGTAATACAAGTTGTATCTATCCCTTAAAATCTATGACAAACATTTTGGAGCTGATTAGCATTCAGTATCTGCTTTAAATCAGCAAACAGGCAAAAAGTAATTGGATAAAAATGGATCCCAGTAGAACAGAAGGTAGCAATTGGAAAATACTTTCAAATAGCAAACTACAATGATAGAGTTCAATCCCATGAATTCTGGCCACATATACAAGAATCTGTAAACTGTATAAAAGTAGTTGACCTTAATCTTACTTAACTGCTGATTGTGTGGGCCCTTCAGTAGGAAGACCAAGAAATTCCACTTCCAATTAAGTAGAAGATTTTTTTACTATGGTACTGCTGACATGATCCAAATAATACATGGACCATTTTAATGATGTCATAATTTTGATTCTGGAACTAAACTGCCCTACCTGCACTATAGGTTGGCAGGGCTGTTCGTTCTCTCTGTAGTTTGTCAGTGTGTGCTATCTCCTTTTAAAAGAATATAAATAGTTACCAAAGTCATTGTTCATTGTGCAAACTTCTTGCTTTTCCAACTAACTTGTGTACACCCAAGTGTCTAAGTAACCACTTCCTTCTTGGTGTCTGTTTAATATGCTCCTACACAACCAACTTAGAGTGTCATGGTTATTCCATTTAGAAATCCATTTTTTCATCATAGCACAAGTACCTTTTGTTTTTCTTCTGAGTCTTTCTTGAATCCTGGCAGACTTCACCAGACAACTATGATATCTGCCTGTCTGAGGCTTTCCTTTAAACCAACCCAAACCTATAAAAGAGCCTCTTCCTGACTTCTCCAGACAGGTCAGAGATTATTCTCCTATGTGTTTTCAGCTCATGAATGCATTAATTCACTAATATGGAAAGTTGATTCTTCCAGAAGAATCAGTCTGACAGTATCAATTCTTCAAACATTTCCCCTGTAATTGCTTGGTACTGGGCCACTGATTCTCTTAAAATTAATGAAATATTATATTAAACAGTAAAACATAATCGTCTTCAAAGCAGTCAGTTGTCTAGGCTAGTATATACCCATTTGCTGGGACCAAGGCAGTTTGTGACAGTATTATTAATGCTCAGGAACAACAGAACTGTTTTCTGTCAAGAAAAAATAATTTGTGCAGGGAACAATGCTGTGCTGGGAGATGTCCCCTGTGGAATTTCTAAAGGGTTGAGAACAATCACTAAATTCACAGGCCTTTTGGTGGAATGTGTAATGAATTTTGACCTCGCCTCATTAAACAGCAATACAGAATACATTGTGTATAAAACCCTCAACACACACAATAAACATTTTTAAACAGGATAAAAATGGAACGTTTTTTACAGAGGAGAACAGGAATCAAAAGGATCGTATCTTGTTAAATTACATGCTTCTGCAAATTCTGGTTTGAATTAATTTGATCAAAATGTCTCAAACATGTAGGTATGCACATGTGAAAAAGTCATCCCAGACTGTCTTTATTTCTCTTTTTATGGAAGAATGTTAAACACATCTAAGGTGAAGCTCACTGAATATCTAAAATATACATATAAAATAAGTCAGATAATTCCCAGCAGGGGTAGGTTTATTTCCATTGACCATAAAGGCAGTCTGGGTTGACTGGCTCAGATATTGAAGGCTAAATTTTTGGTATCTAACATCATGAGATGAATTCCAACCTCAGAGACCAGTGCGACGAGGCTGACATAAAAATGTGACAATCTGAAAATTAATTTATTCTTTATCAAATGGTGTTTTTACTGTGGAATTTACCTTGAAAATGTAGTGAACAGCAACACAAGAACCCGGCAAAGCTTAGATGCCACAGCTAGAGATTTGTTGTTGAAGGCTCAGCTAAGTTCATGAGACTGTGTAGTTTCTGAAGAATGTTCCATTTACTCACAGCCCTAATGAAGTAACCTTTTCAGTGTTCTTAGAAGTGGATTCTAAAAATTTTTTTAAAAAAATTTTAAAAGGCAATCTGTCTTGTGAAGGGGGCTTCTGTTACTATGGAATTTTCTGTAGTAGTCATCAACATTGTTTCTTGTTACTGACACTTAGCAAGCACATGTAATGAAAGAAACAGTAAGAAACCCTGTGTTAGGGTACTAGATAGTTGTACTATACCTGAGAAAGAACCACAGGGGTTATTTCTGAAAGTATATCTGTTGGTGTTACCATATAGCCATTACTGCATCCTATCCTGCAAGATACAGTGTTCAGGAGAAATCTGTGTGGAAGTAAGGGTAAATGTTTTCCTAAGCATTTTGTGAAACCCATTTGTGTTTCTTACTTGGCAGAACGTGGTAAAGTAGGTTTAAGATAAAGGGCAACTTCTATGTGAGTGATACATTTTGTTATACAATGATTAGTGGGACAACAGCAAACAAATAGTAACAACTCATGTATAAACCACATCCTAATAGTCAGTACTAGATGCTTGAGTAATACATGGAACTGAAAAATATTATCAGATTGTTTTAAACATAGTTCATGTGCTGTATATTAAGTAACATCTTGTAAATCTAGAATGTTTTGCAGTAATGCTAAGCCAAGTCATTTTGGAATCTTTGATTCAGTATTCCACTAGTAGATCGTTACACTACTTTCAGTATTTTCAGCATGTGCACAGTATCACGAGTAACTCAAACTGATAGCAGCAAAAAATTAATAAGAATATTGTCCCATAATGGCTGTAGCACAGTTACATTATGAACTGCCAATGATTAAGTCTCATTGTTTATTACAGGGAAACAACAAAATAAAGATTTGTGAATGAAGTGCAGGAATAAGATGAATACTGCATATATGCAAAGAGACAATGCATGAACTTCTGTGCAGCTGTAAGCTTACACTGTGTTCTCTGTGTTGCAGTTAGATAGGAAACTACCCACACAAAAGATGACATCTTTCTAAAGATGAGGTTTAGAACTGAGAGCCACAAGCTTGTTACCAACACAGGATAGCTCTGCAGGAGACTTGAAAAGAGCTTCTTTAATGACTTACAATAATTCAGCAGCAAGGCAAGGATGAAATTTTATAATGTTTTGAAAGTAGTGAGAGTAGAGCACAGTGATATCATTCCCAGTAGTAAATTCAGAATTAAGGGGAGACCTTGTCTGAAAGCTGTCTGAAGGCACTCTCATCTGGGAACATTGTATTGTAGGAAAGATGACATTTTGAATGTAAGATGCCTGTGGACGTACCTGGTTCGTAGGAGGTTTAATACCTATTTACTTTCCGAGATCCGTGGTTGGGGTTTTGGTTTTCGTTTTATATTGGTAGAAATGAGAAAGATGTTGCAAACTGTTATTCTAGATAGGCAGCTTCAGCTGCTGAGATTTTAGTCTCTTAACTGAAACCATGTGTTTTAATGAATGGTTTGAATTGGTGGTGGTCTTTGTGCTGTAAAGGCAGAAGTTAGTGAGCACTGTCATGTTTTAAGGAACTGCAGTCTGGAAAGACTTCTTCAAACAAAGAATTCTTCTTTACAATATATAATATAAAGTGAATGAAATTGTTTATTGTCAGTAATGTTTAATGTACTTACCTTGTAAGTAATGTTTTTAAAGCTAATATATCTTTAAATATGGATATCTGACAAATTCACTAATGTTGTTAAACTTCATTTACAAATATATCTTTGTATTTTCCTTAGGCTTTTATATTAATATTTTTAACTTAACTCGAACAACTAAGCAGTCCTTTTTTTTTCTCTACATAGCAGATGGTACGTGAACAATACACTACAACCACACCAGGCACTAGCCTAGAGAGGCCGAAGAATGAATATGTCTACAAAATTGGAATTTACGGCTGGAGAAAGCGTTGCCTCTACCTGTTTGTTCTCCTCCTGCTTATCATCCTAGTTGTGAATTTTTCTTTGACAATTTGGATTCTTAAAGTGATGTGGTTTTCCCCAGTAAGTGTTCTCTTTAATTGCCCATTCTTTTCATATTCTCTTCTCTTCCCTGACTCATAACTTCATTGATTTTGTATGTTCGTCAGCTTTTCTTTATGTAGTAGATGGTTCTTTTTTCTTACTTCTCAACTCTAATTTGTACTTTGCTTTAAAATATATAAGACATACCTATCTTTGAAGATACTTCCTGATCTGTAATTTCTGTATTGTTAATAATCTTTAAAATACAGAGGTTGCTAGTACCTTATATTGATGTGAATAGTAACCATTCTAAGAGAACATATTTTACGGTTATCTTACAGTCTCTGTTTAGTTTGTATCTTATAAATGTGTTTGCTGTAATGTTATCTCATGCAGAATTCCTTTGTGTTAGAATATTGCTGACAGTTGCTGGGTTTTCTTAGCTTCCTTCTATTTATCAGCATCTAAAATTCAACAGTTTATTTGCCCAATTAATTACAGCTCAGAGGCAATTATTACTACTTCGTGCTTGAGGCTAAGCAGCTATATTATTCAGGAATAAATTTAATAACTTTCCACTGTCATATATATTTCAGTATTTAAAATACAATCCTGCATGTAGTAGATTAAAGGGTAACTTTCTGGAGTCAACAAGATGTAGCTTTAGTCACAATGCAATAAAATGCATCAGTGAATATTGAAGCTAAGCTAATTTGTTCCTAACATGTAGTCATGATACACAGATGATGTGAATAGGCTTGTTACAATAAAAACAGTAATAGTGAATTCCCACAGCTCTGCCCCTGCTACTGAAGGTGGTGTATTAAAGTTATCTATCCATTATCTAAACTAAGCATCTAAACATATTTAGGGCTGCAATAGGGCAAGGATGTCAGAAGTCCTGTGAACAATTCTGAAGGGTCTGATATGTCTGACAGAGGGGAACTTTAATGTTCCTGACATCTACTGAAAGAACATGACAGGATGAAAGCAGTGAAGGTTTCTAGAATGTGTCAGGTGTAAGTTCTGGATAGGACATCTACGAGTAGCACACAGCTGGATCTGCTAGGCATGGGATCCCATGGGAGCCAGATCTGAAGGGTGTAGTTACTCAGGAAAGCTTCCTGGTGTTTAAGGACAGTATCCTCCAAATATGGGAATGATCTGTCCTGATACTCAGGAAGGTAAGTAGCCTGCTTTAGCTAGACAGGTTACTTGTGGCAGAGCTCAAATGGAAAGAGCAGTATAGAAGAGCTGGAAGCAAGGACAGGCTTAGAAAAACTGTCTGCACCAGGAAATGTGTCAGGCTTCCTGCATCAGGAAAGCCAAAGCTCAGCTTTAGTTAGACTAAAAAGGGACAAAGGGCAACAAGATGGGCTGGGATGCATCCGCAGATGCAGAGAGAACCGTCTGGTTCTTTTGCAGTGTCACCCTCTGCCATGTCTGAAAGGTTACGGAGGCTGAGGAGATCCTCAATGACTTGAGGAATGCAAGTGTTGCACTTGTCTTCTAAAACAAGCAGCCAGAGGGACAGCCTGGTTAATTATGGGCTGCTCAGCCTCACTTCAGTCCCTGGGAAAATGATGGAGTAAGTCCTCTTGGAAGACATTTCAAGGCCCATGAAGGAGAATAAAGTAATAGAGAACAGTCACCATGGATTTACCAAGTATTAATGATGCCTGACCAATGTGATTTCCTTCTGTGATAAAATGTCTGGAATTATAGACACTGGCAGGGGCACAAGATGTCATTTACCTTGATTTTAGCAAGATGTTTGACACTCTTCCACAATATTTTTGCACTCTAGTTAAGACATTACAGCTACGAAGGGTGGACAATTTGATAAGTAACAAAAATAAACTGTCTGCATGGTCAGGCTTGCAAGGCTTGCTAATGTCTCATGGAGTTGTAGTTACATGGAGGCCGGTAGTAAGTGTTCTGCATCTGGTCCTTTTTAACAACTTTATCAATGACTTAGAAGAGGTGGCAGAATGCTTGCTCACTAAGTTTGCAGATGATACCAGTTTGGGGATACCATTTAATACTTTAAAGGCTCAGGCTGACATTCAGAGGAGCCTAGATAGGCTGGAGGTATGCTCCAACCATATGAAATTCAAGAATGACAAGTGCAAAGCCCTGCTCCTGGAAAGGAAGAGCCCCTGGCACCAGCACAGGCTGACTCTGGCTGGCTGAAGGCAGCTCTGTGGAGAAGGCCCTGGGGGTTGGTAGGCAACAGGCCAAGCATGAGCCCACAGTGACTGTGGCAGCAATGAAGGCCAAGAGCTTACTGGGCTGTGTGAACAGAGGCAGAAGCCACAGGAAGCTATTATCTCCCTTTACACAGTACTCATTAGACATGCATATAATATATCCCTCTGTTCTGAGCCTCCTAAATGAAGAGAGATACTGACAAACTTTAGTATCATTTTTGGTTTTTAGAAGTTTTGTCTTGTGGCTAGCCATCTGATGTTGCCAAGACAGAGTATCTTTTTGTATGTAAGTAAGATTACACTAGTGAATTCCTTTGACCTCCTCATTCTTAACCTTTCTTATGCTTCTAACAAAGAGTAGATAAATGCTTCACAGGAAAAAAAACATTTTTCTTTTACTTTGTTGTCCTGATTGATTAAAATGACTGAATAATTTTAAAATGGTCCACTGACTCTTAGCTTATAGCATTTTCATTTCAAGGCCATTGGTTATACTAGACTAGATGCTATCATAAGAGATTAAAATGCATCCTTCCAGATACTATCAGAACCTAAAATATTTAACTAGAAAATTACTGGTTATATTGAATGGACTAATACTCCTTACTCTCACTGTTCTTTTCCAAACCCTAATTGTGGTATAGACTATAGAACTGGATGTTTCTCAGTCTTTCTTATTGAAACTGGTTTGATTTATATGGGACAACAGGTTTTTGATTGGGCTGGAGGTAACACATGCTTTAGCCGTGAGGTGATTATGGCACTCAATTAATAGTAAATGAATTTATATGAAGTAGAACAAACCAGAAAAAGAGAGAGTAAAATATTCCCAACATCAAATGTACTATAATCTCTTGTTTATACCATGGATCTGAGATATGAGATCAGATTTTTCCATAGAAAAAGGGAGTTTTAATCTGGGGGTGACACATAGAATCATAGAATCATAGGGGTTGGAAGGGACCTCGAAAGATCATCTAGTCCAACCCCCCTGCCAGAGCAGGACCACCTAGAGTACATCACACAGGAAGGCATCCAGGTGGGTTTTGAATGACTCCAGTGAAGGAGACTCCACAACCTCTCTGGGCAGCCTGTTCCAGTGCTCCATCACCCTCACAGGAAAAAAATTTTTCCTGATATTCACCTTGAACCTCCTATGCTCCAATTTGCACCCATTACCCCTTGTCCTATCACAGGTCAACACTGAAAAAAGCTTAATTCCATCTTCCTGACACTCACCCTTTACATATTTGTAAACATTGATGAGATCACCCCTCAGTCTCCTTTTATCCATGCTAAAGAGACCCAGCTCCCTCAGCCTTTCCTCATAAGGGAGATGCTCCACTCCCCTAATCATCTTTGTAGCCCTACGCTGGACTCTCTCCAGCAGTTCCCTGTCCTTCTTGAACTGACACAACCCAGCTGAGTCCTGCAACAACTTGTTCTTAAGAAAAAGGACATCAGTACCTCTTCACGTGTCCCCTCTTTATCCCTGGAGACTTTATTTGTAAGATGGTCACTTAGGAATTTTTGATTGTGTTCACGTCCAGTGGCAATCAGGTAATTTAACTGCAAGAATATTAATATGCCTAGATCTGTTGGACAAGAGAGCGGGACTTTTGCGGAGCTATATTTTGGAATTTGATTCTTAAATTATTTAAATACCTCCCATACTAATTGCCCAATATATAATTTCCGTATTGACCTGACTCTAGAAGGCTATGTGACTGGCAAACAATTTGGAAAAGTTGGACAGTGTTGAGCTAATCTGTGTAACAATGTTTTATACAACACTGAGCATCTGAAAGCTTTGTAGAGATTAGCTGTAGGAGGCATTAACAAGCTCTTTGGCTTCTCGGTTTGTTACGTAACTGGTAAGATTTCACAATTATAATCTTTTGATTGCATTGCTGCCTCAGTGATTTCTGAAGTTTGGGGTTTTTTTTATTTCTGCATTTTTACTTTTCTACTATCTTTATATTCCTTAGTGAAATCTAAGCTAATGAGACTGATTTCAAGTTTTCTCCTGAATATAACAATCTGTAGCAGTCCTACCCTGCTATTACACAGAGAGTTAGTACTCATGTCCTCAGACTTCACCAATAATACTGATCCATTGTATCAGTACTGTAATCAATGAAGACTTGAACCAAAATTTTTGGGTCACTATTGAATGTCATGCTAGTACTCTAAAACTCAGGTATGAAAAATGCACCTGATTAGATGATTACCATTTCTGATGCACTAGCAAATCTCGTGTGGAAAAGATGCATTAATTCTGTTATGATATAATTTAGGTTATGCTACATTATTGTAATACCATGAACAGTCGTGCACCAAAAAATATTCCTGACTTTTTTTAGCCTTTGATGGAGAAACTCATGTTTCCATAGGTTTTAGTGGATGCCACAACTATCACAGTTTTCTGGAATGAAAAAGTTCAAGGCAATTGTGCTTTATTTCTCGTTGATAAGGACAGATAATCATGAAACAAGAGTGTTACCCAGGATAACATTTTCTTTCTCCAGTTTGTGGAGTTTGGCATGTGGCACAGGTTTTTCTCTGACAAAAATTTTCAGCACACTGTGAGTAAGAAAAGCAGACAGATCTTTACAGCTTTAGATGCACTGCCAGTCAAAAATTATTTGAATCTGCACTCAATCCCATGTTCTCCTGCCATCCATGTTGAACCTTACTTGGGTTTGAGTCACTAACAAGGGGAAAGTCAAGCCTTAATGCCAAGCATTAGAACAACCTGTGGAACACCTTATGACAGGAATGAACTTGCTATATGGAAGGCCAAGCACACAATGTCCAGGCCATCAATGT